TATATATATATATATATATAATTTTTTTTTTTTTATCAGATACTGATATGTTCCCCCATATATCGTGCATTCCTATTTCAAATAAAATCAGTTTGTTAAGAAATGTCACGTACACAGGTCTTGCTTGTTTCTGGACCAAAAAAGACAGATGTGTTAAGACCACATTAACATTAGGGCTTTTAGTTTAGTTTGAGATCACGATTATGTAACACAATTGCTAATTGACAGAACTTTAAATATAATTCAGCCGAAAAACAAAGTGATAAATGTAATCATATAAATGATATAAATAAAACATAAATAATATAAAAACAATTAATAAAAAATATAGTAAATCAAATACATCAAGATAAATATTAAATAAGATCAAATATGTTGTTGCAGCGCACTTCCAAAACACACTGAAAAACTATTAAACCAGGGAAGAGTGGAAGCTGAGAAAGGGGTGTGCTGGATTTATAACAAAAGACAAAATGAGAGCATCATTGTGAAACAGAATGAGGCACAATCATATTTATTATCTTGTATTCATAATCGGTGGAAGCCAAAATCTTAATTGCAAATAGTATTTGATTAATCGCCCAGCCCTAATTCACATTAACTAAACATTGTGATGTGGTATTTTGTGCTGCAGGTTTCGCTCAGGTCCTCTCAGAGGCTCAGGCTCATGGTTACAGTCACTTCCAAAAGTACAGTCTGCTTACACTTCGCCAGTCCTCCGCTCTGGGTGGCGCCAAAATGGGGGCCAAGAACGCAGGAGCCAGCCTCCCTCTGGACTACTCTGCCAATGTCAACGTGTTTTTCAGCCATACCTTCAATCAATGATCTGGAAGAAACAGACCTTTGAGATGCCGCTGAAGAACTGAATTGGGAACATCCTGTTTTTAAACCGATAGAGAAATGTGATTCCAGATTTTCCTCTTGTTGGGGCTGTTTCTCAAACACCCATATCATATTAAACAAAAAATTAAGTAGATTTGAAAAAAGCTATATGTAAATTTTGGTAACGTTTCAATGTCATGGAAAAATTTTTTTAATAAACATTGCAAAACTCAATTAAAAATGGAGTTTATAATTTTGGTGTGTGTAGCAATGGCATAGTTTCATAGTTCTTTGTGTTCTGTTAGTCTTTTGGATGAAGAAAGATTATTTACAGTCTAAAGCCCGAGACACACTGCACGATTTTCGGCTGTCCCAGATGGAAGATTGGCAATGTGAAACAATCGTGGCGCAGCCCTCTACGAACACCTTGGCAACTGAATCGCCATTGGCTAGTGAATTTTTTAGTTTACTCGCCAGACTGATAAATATAGTATATATATGTTTGTTTGTAAAATGGCACAATTTTATAAATATCTGAAAGTACACTCTTAACATCAGTCAGTCAAGCATTATAATATGATAATCAATATTATTTAATGATAGAACTTTAGTAATTAGAATTAAAACTTGATAACCATGTATGAATGCATATTAGTCATTTTAACTGAACTTCGGACTGGTGGTGGTGCTTTTTTGGTCATTCAGTGTTTCTATAAAAAAAAATTAAATTGGGGAAAAACTAACAAAAATACTGATAAGATAAAGATACGAATTCTACTAATAGGAACAATATAAAACGCACCAAGGATTAATAAACTACTGGATTCATGAATATTAATCAGGTTATGTGTGTTCGCACGAACTGATTTGCTGAAATCAAAACAGGGACGATAATAGGTGAGCGCCAGCCAATGAGATTGCCGTGTGCGCATTAGTTCCGCCCACTACCGGAAAAC